TTCTGTTCTGATAGGCTGCTGTCATCGATGACACACTTCCTAATTTGAAGTGTGAATCTTAAGAAATAAAGTGCCAATATTGTGCAGCAGTAGTGACACAGCAGTAAGTAGTGTAAGCACAAGTAGGCTAGGTTGTGTTTTCCCTGGAGGTTTTAAGTGGAAGTATAAAATAGCTGCTTCACACCTTAGGTTAGCAAAATCTAAAGCAACTTAACCTCGTAACTCTGCTTAAAGCCCTGCTTTTCCACCCACAGCCGTTATTTCCAATGAATGTTTGCTGTCCCTGTCATAGAGAGTGCAGCGAGCGGACGCTTGGTTTACATTTGGGTCACAAATTCAAATTTAATTTGTCACATTCACAGTCATACACAGTCATACATAGTACGATATGCAGTGAAATGCTTAGACAACTGCTCGTGACCTAAAGAAAAAAAGAAAAGGCTATGAATAAGATAGGAAATAAATATGAAAATTAAAAAGGGTAAATTTAACTAGGAAGGAATAAAATAAAATATAAAAATTAAGTTAAAAATGAGATAACTGTACAACACAAATTAGAATGAAGGGTAAATTTAACTGGGAAAGAATAAGCCTGCTAGTATCTCCTCCTCCGTAGCCTGGTTTGTGATCATGCTGGTTTTTGGTGAAAGTGTGTTGTTTCCACCTTTAGCAGAAACAGGTTTCTTGCATATTGAAGTTCTTTGTTGGATGTTGTTGAAGTTAATTACTAAATCTATTAGAGGCTGATGTGTGGCTCTTACTGTCAGTTGTAGTTTTTGGTATTTCTGTATCAATGATACAGTTGCGCTATTGTGATATGACATTTTTATTCCTCAAAAAAGTTTATACCAGTTATATCATGGAGACTATGATTATGACACAGCTCTGATGATTTTAACAATTTAGATACTCGTAAATGGTAAATGGCCTGCATTTGTATAGCGCTTTACTTACTTTACAGTCATCCACCCATTCACACACACATTCACACACACATTCACACACTGGTGATGGCAGCTACAT